GTTTTGGGAGAAATTAATGCAGGCAGAAATGTATAGATGTAAGACTATACCATAAATGGGTGGACTGTCTCCAAGATCTCTCAAAATCGGAGGTAACATGTTGCTCATGGAAGGAGCATATACCTGCCATTGGCCATATGTAAGAAATTTTAACCCATATGCTCACAAAAATACTTTTTTTTCAAAATCTCTTCACATATTCACAAATCACAATAACTTGTAAGGATAAAATTGGGAATGGGTGGTAACTCACCCCTGCCTATTTCATCTCCTTCAGCGGCTTCGGGTGAAGACGGAGCAAGTTTGGCAGCTTCGGACTTCCATTCTGTAATGGGTCCTTCTCTGCCTGCATAACAATAATAAAGCAGTAGAAAATTCAATTAAAACACCAAATCATGAAAAAAGGCCGAATCCCTAACTTGAAATCATAAAAATCCAAGCCCAAACTTCTCTTACCTTCGCTCGTTTCCAATTTCCTCAAGCGTGCTTCGACTGTGCGACAACGAGGGTGATCACCGTAGAGGAAAAAAGGGTAACCGAAATGCGCACAAAATATGGTTGGGTAGGAAGAAGAAACAGCGTCGTCCCCTTCGCTTCGTCCAGAGAAAGGGTCGGTTATGCGTAAAATGAAGAGGCGGGAGAGATTACACAGTGAAGAAAATGTTGATGGACGATATTACCCCTGCATTTTAAAAAGAAAAGATCCATTTTATTTGATTTAACGGAACATTTTAACGGTGAATTGACAGAAGGACGTTCTTCGCAAAAAATGGTAAAGGTAGGGACGTTATCCACCAAAAAACTAAAGGTAGGGACGTTATCCACAAAAACCTCCAAAGGTAGGGACGTTTTGTGCTAATCACCCAAAAAAAAATTGTATTTTTGAATCCTATGACTCAAATGTGTAAATTTGGCCGTGCTGGTAGCCCCTGCTGGGCTCGCCTTTGGGTCTGAAATGGCGTGCGTTGGGTTGGAATATGCCGAGCGTAGGCCTACTGGCTTTAACATTTTTTTTGAAGGAAAAAATCAATTTTTTGAAGGAAAAAATCACTTCCAAACAGGCTCATGGCAAAAACACGTAAAAATTACCAAAAGGAAAGAGTTCTCTATCCTATTTTTAATCACATTAAATTAAATATATTTTTTGTTTTCAATTAAACAACTTTTCATAAAATAATATTACACAAATTGAAATTTTTTTCTTCCTTTTTCAACCACTCTTTCTTCAAAAATTACTATTCCTCCCATTAAAATTTGAAGTAATGGGGGCCAAACAGGGCCATAAGATTATGAGTGTTGAATTGTTTGAGAGATGTATGTTTAGTTAAAGTGCATTGTATTGAAATGAAATTTTCTTTGTTTTTTGTTTAAGTGAACCATTACAACCAATAGGCAAGTTCGATGATACAAAAATTAAGAGATTCATGATAAAATTTTGTTTCAACTGAGAAACTTGTTTTGGTATTGGCCTCCTTTCAAATTGTTTGTTACAATATCATTATTCACTATACATTTACACAATAAAATATTCAACACATAAATCACTAATTTTTATTTTTTAATCACACATTTTTCAAAAAAATACTATTCAAAACTATTTAATTTCCAAATAATGAGGGACAAACAATGGCTTAATTACTAACGCGTATTGAGGACTAAAAATTAGAAATGAAAATTTTGATTATCCTTTTTTCCTTTTTCAACCAACACGTCGTCAATCTTTGTAGCCATTAGTCGAAGACTTGAAGTCCTTCGACAAATTAAAAAGCGTCATCATCATCGTCATTCATGACGTGGTTTTAGGTGTGGTGGAGCTTGGAACCTTCGACTCCATTCTCCCTTATATAGTACCTCCCAAAATTAAAATTCGCATACATTTCAATCACACGAGCATTGCCTTGCGTTGTAGATCTAAATCGGTTAAAATGGCAGAGGAAATCACCGCATCGGTGGCTGCAACCACAGCCACCAATAGAAAGAAACGATCTTTATGGCCCACCGTCCTCCGATGGGTTCCCACCTCAACCGATCACATCATCGCCGCCGAAAAACGTCTTCTCTCTCTCGTCAAGTAAGAATGAAAACCATATTCTCGTTTTTTCCCATTATGTTAGCGTTATTTGATAATTGTGATTTTTGTGCTTTTAAGGACGCCTTACAAGACAGAGCAGGTTAATATTGGGTCGGGTCCGCCGGGTTCGAAAGTCAGGTGGTTCAGATCGGCGAGTAATGAGCCAAGGTTTATTAATACGGTTAGTTTTGATGGTAAAGAGGGGTCTCCCACGCTTGTTATGATCCATGGATATGGGGCTTCTCAAGGCTTCTTTTTCCGGAATTTCGACGTCCTTGCCCAGCATTTTAAAGTCATTGCAATCGATCAACTTGGGTAATTTCAATATCCTTTTTCGATTTATTCATATTGTCGTCAATTAGGATTGGTTTCGATATGGGTTATGTTCTTGTGGTGAAAAATTCTTGTTTACCAGGTGTTATAGATATGATTCTGATTCTTTGTCCAATAATAAATGGGAGTTAGGCTCTCTTAAATTTTGTACGCTCAAATGTATGAATAATTTATTATTCAAGAAAATGAAGATTTCCGTTTTTTGTTTGTCTCACTTTTATTGCTTTAAGAAACAAGATAATTAGAGCGGAAAAATAATGCAGAAAGAATGTTTTACCAGTGTACTCATCTTTCTGCTACCTTTATTTTCTTGGTGCAGTTGGGGTGGTTCTAGTAGGCCTGATTTCACATGTAAAAGTACTGAAGGTAAGTGCAGAAAATTGCTCCTTGGTATTTCCATTGGAGGATTAAATGTGCTGAAATCATCTTTAAGTTTGACATGCCTATATATGTGCTGTAACTTGTAATATAGAAACCGAGGCGTGGTTCATTGATTCCTTTGAGGAATGGCGCAAAGCAAAAAATCTTAGCAACTTCATTTTACTGGGGCATTCTTTTGGAGGATATGTTGCTGCTAAATATGCTCTGAAGGTAAATTTTTTAATAAGCAACAAATTCTAAGACTCTATAATGATCACATCCAACCGATTTAAGTTGTATTGCTTCTACAGTATCCTGAGCACATCCAACACTTGATTTTAGTTGGACCTGCTGGATTTAGTTCAGAAACAGAGCATATGTCTGAGCAGCTTACTCGGTTTAGATCAACATGGAAAGGAGCCATTGCAAATCATTTATGGGAGTCTAATTTTACTCCGCAAAAGATTATAAGGTAAGTAGTCTTTGCTTTCTTTTCTATTGTGCAGACATGCATCTATGATCTGATTCTTTTTTTACTTATTTATCACAATCTATTTATGTTTACTTCCATCAAATTTGTTCTTTATCAATATAATGAGCCTCGTGACTGTCGTCACCAGACTCATAATTTCTTTGTTCTTTTCTTAACATGGCACTATAGGCCTGTCAAATAACCTCCTCTTAAGTTATGGCCAGGGCACTTTTCATGCATTGCTCACTGGTTTTTACTTTGCTAAAAGAATATTATTTGGCTGCTGGCCAGTAGTTTATGAAGATTTAACCTTATCTTTTCTATAATGCAGAGGTTTAGGTCCTTTTGGTCCGGATCTGGTTCGCAAGTATACTAGTGCGAGATTTGGTGCACGTTCACAAGGACACGTATTAACTGAGGAGGAATCAAGATTACTTACAGGTAAGTGTGATTAGCTTGTTTGGTTTCCGACACATTGATTTCTTTCTAACCTTTTTCATCTCTTAATGGTAGATTATGTGTATCATACTCTGGCGGCTAAATCTAGTGGAGATCTGTGCTTAAAATATATATTCTCCTTTGGAGCCTTTGCACGGATGCCCCTTTTAAAAAGGTGAGTTGCTTCCATTTTTCAATATTGGTTTCTAAACTAGTGGAGAGAGTGCCCAAGTAACTCTACCATTAGTACCTTACTAGTAAATGATGGGAGCTCTGTTATTTACCAAATTCTGATGTATTTTTTTAGTTGGGATATTTTTTTCAAGAACATGTATTGTGATGATGATCTTATACATGTTGGCATGAATAATGTAAAATGTTTGAGACGGTTTATCATGCGACTTTCTTTAGAACTCTGTTCTATACAGAAGGAAAATGAAAATGTTGCTTGACAGTATTTAAAATGCCATCACACATTTACTTGCTAGGACACATATTGCCATACACTTGTGTGTTCGAGATATTCTTTCTTCCTCACACATATACTTATGGAGGAAATTATAGTTTGGTGGCTTTCTTTTGTCTTTCTCTTCCACGTGTTGAGATTATTTTCTGTTGGAAGTCGACTTAAGATACTTCAGTGACATGATTGTGTTATCTTGTTTTCCAAGTGAAGATCCACGAGAAATAGTTAATTACTTCAGGTTTGTAACTACCACATACTGTGCTTGCAGTGCATCGGAGTGGAAGGTGCCAACAACATTCGTATATGGTTTCCAAGATTGGATGAATTACGAATGTGCACAAGAGGCTAGAAAGCAAATGAAAGTCCCGTGCGAGATAATAAGGGTCCCTCAGGTAGCTCTCTCCCTCTCCCTGCCTGTTGTGCAATTAGGCAACAGAAATTTTATGCCTTCCTTTGCTATGAAAAATCGAAGTACAACTGAAATTTCCTCGTCTACTTGCAGGGTGGTCACTTTGTATTCATAGACAATCCAGCTGCTTTTCATTCGGCTGTATTATATGCTTGCCGGAATTATATTTCACCCGACCAGGACAGTATCTCACTTCCAGAAGGCCTGGAATCTGTCTGAAGAATAGAGAATGTGTTGTATTATAATGTTTAACATATAAATAACATTTCTGTTACAGCGAGGAGCCCGTTCACCCGATTAAGAATTCTTTTGCAATGTATATTAGGATTATCCGCTACAGAGGGGCTCTTATTCTTTTGTATCAGCCTTATTATTATTAATATTATTATTTAGTTATTTATTTATTTATTTTTCCTGGAGCCCCGTTTTGATCTCTGTAGTGGAAAAATTTCTGTAATTATTGATTATAATTGAAGGTTGGGACCTAAATGTAACCAGAAATTGTATGCGACCCAAGTGCAGTTACAATTTTCCCAGTTTTTTAAGCATTGAAGGAGTGAAACTGAAAGCATTGCTTTCAATTGATGCCTCCATTGACAGAATCACAATGCTCCATTCTGAACAAAACAGTAATTTTTGCTTCATTATTGCTCTTGTAAAGGCCTGTGCAAACTGCATAAATGCCTATGCTAAACGCAGTAGGACACCATTAACCATGCGATTGTCTGAGCCATGCCCAACTGTGCCAGTTATATACGGTTACCTGTTTTGGTGCTACATATAAGCCAATACAAGTGTTTGTTCTGTTTTTTGTTTTTTGGATGACAGTATTATTTTTGTTCATATAGAATTCATGGCACTGTCTAATTTTGAAGTTTCATGATATTTTGATTAATGCATTAATTATATTAAATTAAATTAATTCTCCTCTTCAAAAACACATTCTATTCAATTACAAGATTATGTTTTTGAAACATCAGACACTAGTTTAAGTTATAAGACTCCTATGAATTTCCCACCCATTTAAAAGTTTACTTCACAGGCGAGGTCTCAGGCTCATACTTCACTGTTCTGTCGGGAAGCTTTATATCATGGAAGGCAGGCTGTGTTTCCAACTGGAGGACTTGAGATTCATTGGTTTCAGCGAGAAGCTAAGTCCAAACATTTCTTTTGGGGCGTGATTTCCGTCCTTGAATCCTACTAATTTTGCGACTATAGCAGCACTCTCGTTAATATGCTCCAAATTTTTTGCATTCGTCCACAGCATTCGGCATAGTTGATGCCTTCTGTGCTTCGATTTTAGGCTGATGCCCCATTTTTGGAATAGAGCCTCTCTCTCCTTTGTTGAATATTTCTTTAGCATTTGTTTGCTAAGCATCTCTCTCTCCCGGTTCAGAGCCCTGCAGTTGTTTTCATTTCAAATGTTAAGTTAAATTCTGGAATTGTGGGGCACCGAGAATGAGAAAAGAGTACCTTGTGGACTTTGCGGAAACTTGACCGCTAGATAATGTATTCTTGAGAAATGACAATCGTCTAAGTTCGACTTCCATGTAAACGGCATCTGATGGATCTCCTTTAAAGAGCAGTAAGAAGTAAGTTCTATGGACTAATGGGGTGTCACAAGAATCCCAAAGTTCAATTATCTCTCTCTTTTGTCTCTCGAATTCTGTAGACCAATCAGAAGCAGATTTCTGTATATCCTGATCTTTTATCGAACCATCATCTGTAGGTTTTTCTGGCTCTTTGGATGTTTTTTCATCCTCAAGATCCTGCCATAGAAAATTCCTTATAAGAACTCATAATAATACTAAGTGAATGTGTTTTTTCTATAAACAAATCTTCTATCCATGCCAACAACATCACTGCAGTGCATGAACTACTAATTACTATAGGCATGCTCATACTCACCAAATTGTCCCCAAACTGCGTCTGAGACTTAGGCTTTATCATTTCTTTTTCTGGCTCTTTGGATGTTTTTTCATCCTCAAGATCCTGCCATAGAAAATTCCTTATAAGAACTCATAATAATACTAAGTGAATGTGTTTTTTCTATAAACAAATCTTCTATCCATGCCAACAACATCACTGCAGTGCATGAACTACTAATTACTATAGGCATGCTCATACTCACCAAATTGTCCCCAAACTGCGTCTGAGACTTAGGCTTTATCATTTCATCCGGTCCTGTCTCACAGGTTTGTTTATTGGCTCTACAGTCTTCAACCAGTATCTTGATGATTTCTTCCTTCACATTCATAAAGTCAGTAGTAATAGAACTTTCCAAGTCTTTTCTGCATAGATCTTCGTCATTAGTTGGCTCTATTTTAGAAAGCTTTCCTTGATTATCATCCTGTCTTTCTGGAGATTCTTTCTCAAATTCATCTGGTAATGGGCTTTCATTTTCTTTTGAAAACTCAGAACTGGGAGATTTTTGCAGTGACACGGGAAGTGCTGTACAGCTTTTGCTCCTCGGTACATGTGCACTTCCCTGATTAGATATTTCTTCGTCAGATGAACAAGGGGATTGTCCTGAATGGTAAATTCAACAAGACATTTATTACACATGCAAGTCCTAAATATTTTGCTTTAATGTTCCGCGCTTCAAAGTTTCACAAAATGAACTAGTATAACCTGAATCCTGCTCTCCTACAGGTGCGGATAGCAGTGTGCTTGCAATCGTATTTCTCTTGGAGATATCAGTTTCAATACATTGGACTTCCTTGCAGTTATCTTCGTAATTATTATCAGTTTCTTGAGCAATCTTCTCCCAGCCTTTACATGGATCAGGACCGAAATATTTATCTATATATAATCTCGGGGAGGTGTCATCTGACAGAAATTGCATTTCAGAATTCTCAAAGAACGGTTCTTCAAGCTTGTTGGAGTTGAGGCCTTCGCATCGGTCAGAGAAATGAGATGTCCTGGATGCAACATCAGAACGAGTAGTATCAATTATCTCTGATGCTTCAGATGCTGAATATTCATCTGCCGACGAACGTTTCTCATAGTTATCACCCTGAGAGGAAAAAATGAGAATTTCAATTAAGTGTAGAACAGTTTTCGTGTTAAACTCTAATCTTAAGAAAATCTTTACAAACCCATGGTTTTGGAATTTGATATTCTCCCCCAGTCTGTATCAGATCCTCAGTACGAGAACGAGCCAGGTCACGTTGTTGAGTTAATTCTCTTATCTCGTTTTCCATCTACAAAATTGAAAGAGGGAAAGAAAAAGACTGTTAGTCGACTATGTTAACTGTGTATACACTTTTACACTGCTATATCACACACAAATACACCCATTATTTCCATGAACATAACCTTCAATCTACTTTATGCTATAGTTTTCACATTTCCACTCTCTGAATCTGTTTAGTTTTTCACTATTCTAACTGTTTCTAAATATATCAGCAAGAGATTTGAATAATATGCATCTGAGAATAATTGATTTAAAGATTACAAAATGTGATCCTTTTTATTCACCTTTTCGATAAGCATTTCTTTCTCTTTTAGTGCTGATGCAGAATCACCTGAGGCAGCAAGTGAGCTTAAACTTCTCAACTCGTCCTCCAGTCTTGCTAGTTCTTTTTGTAACTGCTTGACTAACGCTTTCTCCGACATCACAACGTTCACACGTGCATTAGTATTGACTTGCTTTGCACAACTGGCAAACAAGAGTGTGTTTCTTGACTTCTCGACATGACTGTGAGCAGGGCTCATGGTGCAAATGATGGCAGTCCTAGCATTGCCTCCCAAACAGTTCTGTAGTATGCGGGTTAGCTTCGAGTCTCTGTATGGTATGTGCCCATTTCTTCCTTTGCTGCATTAAAATTTGATGTTAGTAGTATGAGGAATACTAATAAAATCAGAAATAGAAGCATGCAAATAAGGAAGATAGATGTTTTTGACAATTCTTTGATTTGATTATTGTTATTTGGAAAGTTTGTATCTACTTGAGGAAACAAATGAATCTACAAATACTTTGCCTTTTTAGTCTCTGGGTAAGCTCTTGTAATTCAACGGTGAAATATGGAGAATTAGCACCTGCATGCAAATGGTAGGGAATTAGAAAACCAATATCAAGTAATAAATTGGGGAGTTTTGGGAGAAATTAATGCAGGCAGAAATGTATAGATGTAAGACTATACCATAAATGGGTGGACTGTCTCCAAGATCTCTCAAAATCGGAGGTAACATGTTGCTCATGGAAGGAGCATATACCTGCCATTGGCCATATGTAAGAAATTTTAACCCATATGCTCACAAAAATGCTTTTTTTTCAAAATCTCTTCACATATTCACAAATCACAATAACTTGTAAGGATAAAATTGGGAATGGGTGGTAACTCACCCCTGCCTATTTCATCTCCTTCAGCGGCTTCGGGTGAAGACGGAGCAAGTTTGGCAGCTTCGGACTTCTATTCTGTAATGGGTCCTTCTCTGCCTGCATAACAATAATAAAGCAGTAGAAAATTCAATTAAAACACCAAATCATGAAAAAAGGCCGAATCCCTAACTTGAAATCATAAAAATCCAAGCCCAAACTTCTCTTACCTTCGCTCGCTTCAAATTGCCTCAAGCGTGCTTCGACTGTGCGACAACGAGGGTGATCACCGTAGAGGAAAAAAGGGTAACCGAAATGCGCACAAAATATGGTTGGGTAGGAAGAAGAAACAGCGTCGTCCCCTTCGCTTCGTCCAGAGAAAGGGTCGGTTATGCGTAAAATGAAGAGGCGGGAGAGATTACACAGTGAAGAAAATGTTGATGGACGATATTACCCCTGCATTTTAAAAAGAAAAGATCCATTTTATTTGATTTAACGGAACATTTTAACGGTGAATTGACAGAAGGACGTTCTTCGCAAAAAATGGTAAAGGTAGGGACGTTATCCACCAAAAAACTAAAGGTAGGGACGTTATCCACAAAAACCTCCAAAGGTAGGGACGTTTTGTGCTAATCACCCAAAAAAAAATTGTATTTTTGAATCCTATGACTCAAATGTGTAAATTTGGCCGTGCTGGTAGCCCCTGCTGGGCTCGCCTTTGGGTCTGAAATGGCGTGCGTTGGGTTGGAATATGCCGAGCGTAGGCCTACTGGCTTTAACATTTTTTTTGAAGGAAAAAATCAATTTTTTGAAGGAAAAAATCACTTCCAAACAGGCTCATGGCAAAAACACGTAAAAATTACCAAAAGGAAAGAGTTCTCTATCCTATTTTTAATCACATTAAATTAAATATATTTTTTGTTTTCAATTAAACAACTTTTCATAAAATAATATTACATATAAATCAAAATTTTTTTCTTCCTTTTGTAACGATCCTTTCTTCAAAAATTACTATTCCACCCATTAAAATTTGAAGTAATGGGGGCCAAACAGGGGCATAGGATTATGAGTGTTGAATTGTTTGAGAGATGTATGTTTAGTTAAAGTGCATTGTATTGAAATGAAATTTTCTTTGTTTTTTGTTTAAGTGAACAATGATACAACCAATTGGCAAGTTCGATGATACAAAAATTAGGAGATTCATGATAAAAATTTGTTTCAATTGAGAAATTTGTTTTAGTATTGGCCCCTTTACAGTTTTAAATTGTTTATTACAATTTCATTTTTCACTATATATTTACACAATAAATATATTCTACACACAAATCACTAAATTATAATTTTTATTTTTTAATCACATATTTTTCAAAAAAATAATATTCAAAACTCTTTAATTCCCAAATAATGATTGACCAACAATGGCTTAATTACTAACGCGTATTGAGGACTAAAAATTAGAAATGAAAATTTTGATTATTCTTTTTGCCCTTTTCAACCAACACGTCGTCAATCTTTGTAGCCATTAGTCGAAGACTTGAAGTCCCTCGACAAATTAAAAGCGTCATCATCATCGTCATTCATGACGTGGTTGGAAGTGTGGTGGAGCTTGGAACCTTCGACTCCATTCTCCCTTATATAGTACTGCCCAAAATCAAAATTCGCATATATTATCACACGAGCATTGCTTTGCGTTGTAGATCTAAATCGGTTAAAATGGCAGAGGAAATCACCGCATCCGTGGCAGCAACCACAGCCACCAATAGAAAGAAACGATCTTTATGGCCCACCGTCCTCCGATGGGTTCCCACATCAACCGATCACATCATCGCCGCCGAAAAACGTCTTCTCTCCCTCGTCAAGTAAGAATGAAAACCATATTCTCGTTTTTTTCCCATTATGTTAGTGTTGTTTGATAATTGTGATTTTTGTGCTTTTAAGGACGCCTTACAAGACAGAGCAGGTTAATATTGGGTCGGGTCCGCCGGGTTCGAAAGTCAGGTGGTTCAGATCGGCGAGTAATGAGCCAAGGTTTATTAATACGGTTAGTTTTGATGGTAAAGAGGGGTCTCCCACGCTTGTTATGATCCATGGATATGGGGCTTCTCAAGGCTTCTTTTTCCGGAATTTCGACGTCCTTGCCCAGCATTTTAAAGTCATTGCAATCGATCAACTTGGGTAATTTCAATATCCTTTTTCGATTTATTCATATTGTCGTCAATTAGGATTGGTTTCGATATGGGTTATGTTCTTGTGGTGAAAAATTCTTGTTTACCAGGTGTTATAGATATGATTCTGATTCTTTGTCCAATAATAAATGGGAGTTAGGCTCTCTTAAATTTTGTACGCTCAAATGTATGAATAATTTATTATTCAAGAAAATGAAGATTTCCGTTTTTTGTTTGTCTCACTTTTATTGCTTTAAGAAACAAGATAATTAGAGCGGAAAAATAATGCAGAAAGAATGTTTTACCAGTGTACTCATCTTTCTGCTACCTTTATTTTCTTGGTGCAGTTGGGGTGGTTCTAGTAGGCCTGATTTCACATGTAAAAGTACTGAAGGTAAGTGCAGAAAATTGCTCCTTGGTATTTCCATTGGAGGATTAAATGTGCTGAAATCATCTTTAAGTTTGACATGCCTATATATGTGCTGTAACTTGTAATATAGAAACCGAGGCGTGGTTCATTGATTCCTTTGAGGAATGGCGCAAAGCAAAAAATCTTAGCAACTTCATTTTACTGGGGCATTCTTTTGGAGGATATGTTGCTGCTAAATATGCTCTGAAGGTAAATTTTTTAATAAGCAACAAATTCTAAGACTCTATAATGATCACATCCAACCGATTTAAGTTGTATTGCTTCTACAGTATCCTGAGCACATCCAACACTTGATTTTAGTTGGACCTGCTGGATTTAGTTCAGAAACAGAGCATATGTCTGAGCAGCTTACTCGGTTTAGATCAACATGGAAAGGAGCCATTGCAAATCATTTATGGGAGTCTAATTTTACTCCGCAAAAGATTATAAGGTAAGTAGTCTTTGCTTTCTTTTCTATTGTGCAGACATGCATCTATGATCTGATTCTTTTTTTACTTATTTATCACAATCTATTTATGTTTACTTCCATCAAATTTGTTCTTTATCAATTTAATGAGCCTCGTGACTGTCGTCACCAGACTCATAATTTCTTTGTTCTTTTCTTAACATGGCACTATAGGCCTGTCAAATAACCTCCTCTTAAGTTATGGCCAGGGCACTTTTCATGCATTGCTCACTGGTTTTTACTTTGCTAAAAGAATATTATTTGGCTGCTGGCCACTAGTTTATGAAGATTTAACCTTATCTTTTCTATAATGCAGAGGTTTAGGTCCTTTTGGTCCGGATCTGGTTCGCAAGTATACTAGTGCGAGATTTGGTGCACGTTCACAAGGACACGTATTAACTGAGGAGGAATCAAGATTACTTACAGGTAAGTGTGATTAGCTTGTTTGGTTTCCGACACATTGATTTCTTTCTAACCTTTTTCATCTCTTAATGGTAGATTATGTGTATCATACTCTGGCGGCTAAATCTAGTGGAGATCTGTGCTTAAAATATATATTCTCCTTCGGAGCCTTTGCACGGATGCCCCTTTTAAAAAGGTGAGTTGCTTCCATTTTTCAATATTGGTTTCTAAACTAGTGGAGAGAGTGCCCAAGTAACTCTACCATTAGTACCTTACTAGTAAATGATGGGAGCTCTGTTATTTACCAAATTCTGATGTATTTTTTTAGTTGGGATATTTTTTTTCAAGAACATGTATTGTGATGATGATCTTATACATGTTGGCATGAATAATGTAAAATGTTTGAGACGGTTTATCATGCGACTTTCTTTAGAACTCTGTTCTATACAGAAGGAAAATGAAAATGTTGCTTGACAGTATTTAAAATGCCATCACACATTTACTTGCTAGGACACATATTGCCATACACTTGTGTGTTCGAGATATTCTTTCTTCCTCACACATATACTTATGGAGGAAATTATAGTTTGGTGGCTTTCTTTTGTCTTTCTCTTCCACGTGTTGAGATTATTTTCTGTTGGAAGTCGACTTAAGATACTTCAGTGACATGATTGTGTTATCTTGTTTTCCAAGTGAAGATCCACGAGAAATAGTTAATTACTTCAGGTTTGTAACTACCACATACTGTGCTTGCAGTGCATCGGAGTGGAAGGTGCCAACAACATTCGTATATGGTTTCCAAGATTGGATGAATTACGAATGTGCACAAGAGGCTAGAAAGCAAATGAAAGTCCCGTGCGAGATAATAAGGGTCCCTCAGGTAGCTCTCTCCCTCTCCCTGCCTGTTGTGCAATTAGGCAACAGAAATTTTATGCCTTCCTTTGCTATGAAAAATCGAAGTACAACTGAAATTTCCTCGTCTACTTGCAGGGTGGTCACTTTGTATTCATAGACAATCCAGCTGCTTTTCATTCGGCTGTATTATATGCTTGCCGGAATTATATTTCACCCGACCAGGACAGTATCTCACTTCCAGAAGGCCTGGAATCTGTCTGAAGAATAGAGAATGTGTTGTATTATAATGTTTAACATATAAATAACATTTCTGTTACAGCGAGGAGCCCGTTCACCCGATTAAGAATTCTTTTGCA